TTAGGTTAGTCTTTATAATATTTTATTTAATTCTTACATAAACCCTATAATGTGATGTTTCTGTCAGCAGAACTTGAGTGAAGTAGTCATCTACAAGTGATTCTTAAAGAAATATTTCCAGGAGAACCAGGTAAAGGAGTAGAGGTAGCAAGACAGTGAAGGGGAGGAAACCAAACAAGGATGGGATTTCAGGAATAGTCCAGCCGAAGATGCTTCAGCGTAATTCCACAAAGGAGCTCTGAGTTGTAACTTGCAACTCTGACTTATCTACTGTTAGGTCAGAGAACTAGGCTTTTACTCTCCCTAAGCACCAGTTATTGGCTAAAGGATACCCATGGAGTGTGCAGACACTGAGGCTCTTGGGCTCTCTCTGACTGTGGGCAATGGTGGTCTGGTAACCAAGGGCAGTCCCTGTTCTCAGGTGGTGGCGGTGGAGCTGGTGACTGAAAACAAATGGAGTTGGAAGCTGGGGAAAGAGTGCTCAGAAATTTTAGAGAGAAGGAAACAAAGGTTAAGTACCCAAAGTCACAAAGAGAATGAGTGCAAATGTGTGTGACTCCAAATTCCTTTTCCTTTCCCCTTTAATGTGTTGCTTCCAGTCACAAAGACACTATCATTGGAACTTCCAAGAATCTCCTGTTTCAGATATCATTATGACCTTTTTAAAAAACTGAATAAACTTTTTTAGTTTTTTTAAAACTCAGGATCTGTCTACTTGCATACAGAATTTTGCATATATAATATGTGAGTATATTCATGAGCCTTCTCCCCTCCTCTGGGGAGAGAGTTGATGGTTTACATAAATTTCTTAAAGGGAATTTAAAAAACTAAGTGTTAAGTATCACTACTTAAGAGGCGCCCGGGTGGTTCATTCAGTAAGCATCTGCCTTCAGCTCAGGTCATGATCCCATGATTTCCTGGGATGAGCTCCGTGTCGGGCTCCCTGCTCAGCGGAAGCCTGTTTCTCCTTCTCCCACTCCCCCTGCTTGTGTTCCCTCTCTCACTGTCTCTCTGTCAAATAAATAAATAAAATCTTAAAAAAAAAGAATCACTATTTAAGAGATCATTCTCCATATTTACCTATTTTCCTGCCTAAGATCTTATGACTTATTTATCATTACATCTTTAAAACATTGGTCTCATGAACTCAAGTTAATTAAACTAATTAAAAATTAAAAATTAGGGTAATGACACTCCTCCCCACCCTGCCTTGAGCACTGATTTTACTTGTTCTTATAAGTTTGAGAAGAATTGGCATTAATTCTTTTTTAGGATTTAGTGTAACTCACCAGTGAAGGCTTTTGTCCTAGGGTTTTCTATGTGAAAGTTTTTTTTTCTATGTGGAAGTGTTTTGTTTTGTTTTTTAAAGATTTTGGTTATTTGTTTGAGAGAGAGAGAAAGAGAGGGCACAAGTGTGAGGGTGGGCATCCAGAGGGAGAAGCAGACTCTCCACTGAGCAGGGAACCCAACATGGGGCTCATGTGGCTCAGACTTAAGGGGCTAGATCTAGGACTTTGGGATCACAACCTGAGCAGAAGGCAGTTGCTTAACAGACTGCTTTACCCAGGCGCCCCTCTGTGGACATTTTGGATTACTGATTCAATTTCTTCACGTGTTATAGGTCTATTTAATTTATATTTCTGACTAGGAGCACAGAACTTAATTGTATACTGTTTGGCAGATGGTTTACTTAAAATTAGGCAAAAAGTGCACTAAGGGCATTAAATTAGTTTGATTTGTGTTTCCATTGTTCAATTCAACTGGATAATTGCCAGATATTCATTTAGTGTCTGTATGACTTACACAACCCACACCCAAACACACACAATTGGCCTGGATAACAAGAGGTCAGTATTTTTAAAAGTTCAAAAAGAATTCCCAACAATTTCCCTGAATTTTTTTTCTGATTATGTGATATAAGTAGAGAGTCTTTTTGTATACACATAGTTAATCCCTAGAACTTTTACACAATGAGTCTGAGGGTGTCTCTATAAGGGGAAACATTCTAAACTTGTAGAGCTAAGCTCCATGGACTGAGAAAGTTCTGGGGCTTTGGGGGACTGAGTGGAGGAGACTGATAAACAAATTTTCCCTGGGGGGCGGGGCAGGTAATAGCCTCTGACCTTTGACCTTTGGGTGCATGGATGGGTGGGTAGCCCCAGCCTGAACCCAGCTGCAAGAGGTACCAGGTAGGGAGAAAACTTTTTTTTTTTTTTTTCTTTTCAGCGTAACAGAATTCATTGTTTATGAACCACACCCAGTGCTCCAGCAATACTGCCCTCCATAATACCCACCACCTGGCTCCCCCAACCTCCCACCCCTCGCCCCTTCAAAACCCTCAGGTTGTTTTTCAGAGTCCATAGTCTCTCATGGTTCACCTCCCCTTCCAATTTCCCCCAACTCCCTTCACCTAACTCCCCATGTCCTCCATGCTATTTGTTATGCTCCACAAATAAGTGAAACCATATGATAATTGACTCTCTCTGCTTGACTTATTTCACTCAGCATCATCTCTTCCAGTTCCGTCCATGTTGCTACAAAAGTTGGGTATTCATCCTTTCTGATGGAGGCATAATACTCCATAGTGTATATGGACCACATCTTCCTTATCCATTGGTCCGTTGAAGGGCATCTTGGTTCTTTCCACAGTTTGGCAACTGTGGCCATTGCTGCTATAAACATTGGGGTACAGATGGTCCTTCTTTTCACTCCATCTGTATCTTTGGGGTAAATACCCAGTAGTGCAATTGCAGGGTCATAGGGAAGCTCTATTTTTTTAATTTCTTAAGGAATCTCCACACTGTTCTCCAAAGTGGCTGCACCAACTTGCATTCCCACCAACAGTGTAAGAGGGTTCCCCTTTCTCCACATCCTCTCCAACACACGTTGTTTCCTGTCTTGCTAATTTTGGCCATTCTAAGTGGTGTAAGGTGGTATCTCAATGTGGTTTTAATTTGAATCTCCCTGATGGCTAGTGATGATGAACATTTTTTCATGTGTCTGATAGCCATTTGTATGTCTTCATTGGAGAAGTGTCTGTTCATATCTTCTGCCCATTTTTTGACACGATTATCTGTTTTGTGTGCGTTGAGTTTGAGAAGTTCTTTATAGATCCTGGATATCAACCTTTTGTCTGCAGTGTCATTTGCAAATATCTTCTCCCATTCAGTGGGTTGCCTCTTTGTTTTCTTGACTGTTTCCTTGGCTGTTTAGAAGCTTTCGATCTTGATGAAGTCCCAAAAGTTCATTTTTGCTTTTGTTTCCTTTGCCTTTGGAGACATATCTTGAAAGAAGTTGCTGTGGCTGATATCGAAGAGGTTACTGCCTATGTTCTCCTCTAGGATTCTGATGGATTCCTGTCTCACGTTGAGGTCTTTTATCCATTTTGAGTTTATCTTTGTGTACGGTGTAAGAGAATGGTCGAGTTTCATTCTTCTACATATAGCTGTCCAGTTTTCCCAGCACCATTTATTGAAGAGACTGTCTTTTTTTCACTATATATTTTTTCCTGCTTTGTCAAAGATTATTTGACCATAGAGTTGAGGGTCCATATCTGGGCTCTCTACTCTGTTCCACTGGTCTATGTGTCTGTTTTTATGCCAGTACCATGCTGTCTTGGTGATCACAGCTTTGTAGTAAAGCTTGAAATCAGGTATCTGATGATGCCACCAGTTTTGAAAACTTTTGACAGCAAAGCGATGCCTTTCCCAAGTGATGCTAAAAATAGGATAATGTTCAAATATAGGTAATCTCAGCTGCTTAAGCCGGGTAATGCTCTTAGATTATATTACTCCTCTCTGTAATTCACCCTTCACCCATCTACCACCATGAGTCCCACTTTGGTTTTTCCTAAGTAAAATTTGATGTAGTTTAATATTAAATTCAAGTTCAGGGGTGATTTCTCTCTCTAATGCTCCACAAGAAGATGGCAGGTTGTTGGCTGTGGTGAGGGAAGGTGAGCCAAAGCAGATTCCTTGCCTTTCTGGGGAGCACTAGGCATACAGTAGGCACAGGACACACGTCAAAAGAGCAGAAGATGGAAGGAATGAAAGATTCTGTGGCAGTCAGGCAACACACACCCCAACTCTCTACTGATTTCTCCTTCTTAGAAAGAGCACAAGTCATCATTTTTTTTGCACTCCACATGACTCTCTTGTCATTTTGGCTTGGAAATGAAGTAGGGCGATTTCATCCTTCATCTCAACAAATGTCCATTGCACTATCCTTAGGTATAATAGCTAAGGACTTGTCAGGGATGCTTTAAGTCCCAAAATACTGCAGGGAGCGAATGAATCCTCCAAAGAGGTGAGGTCTGGGATTCTGAGCCCTTGTACACCCAGGAGCATGGTAGTCTGGACAGGAGCGAGACACAATGGCGTCTGTCTCCATGTCTCTGGAAGAGCCTTCACCAATCCCTAAAATTAATCCGAGAAAAAGCAAACCAGGCTCAGGGCTGCAAAGACTGAGCCATGCTCTCCAGTCCTCCTCTACCTGGCTCGAAGAATCAAGGCTGCTCAGTCAGGGCGTCGTTTGTGTTTGAAGAGACTAGGGATGGGGACAGCTGCAGCCAAGCTTCCCTCGGACAAAAGAGTGGGGATTTCTCGGACCTTTCTGGGAGTTTTGAGTGTGAAAAGTGTCCTCCGGCCCTGCGCACGCTGTGAGTGAGAAAGGGATGAAAGAAGGGGTGAGAGGTGGGGACGGGGCCTCCCGGTGAGACGGACGCAGCTGGGGAAGTGAGCTCCGAGTTAAGCATCTGCCGGGACCTTAGACAGGTGGAGAAAGGCAGTCCCGCCTCGGCCCACCCGGGTCCCAGGTCCGAGCTGTACCTGGGCACTGGCTTCCTTCTCCTCGAGGCCAGGGGACCGGGGAGCCTGCTGCCTCCGCCCCCGCCCCTGAGGCCGCAGGTCCCCAGCCCCGCCCAGCCCCGCCCCGCCCTGGACTCTGGGCTCCGCGGGGCGCCGGCCGAGCGGCGGGTGCCCAGGTCTCCCACGGCCAGGAGGATGGCCAAGGTCCCGGTGCTGGAAGACGCCTTCCTGCAGGCGCAGTCTTCGCCCCAAGTTTCCCCTGAGGCCCCGGAGGAGTGCTGCGTGCAGCTCCTGGGCAAGGGCTTGCTCATTTACCCTGAGGAAAGGGTGTACCTGGCGGCTGAAGCGCAGCCCGGGGGCGCCCTGGGCAGTGCGGAGAGAGGGGAAGACCCGGAGCTGACGGCGGGAGTTAAATCAGGTGAGTGCTCCGGACCCGCGGGGCGTGTGGCTGGGAAGCGGGTGAATTCTAAAAAGGGCATCCAATAATAAAAGTAAACACACCGCAAACATAACAGGCATGTACAACGTTCAAGTCCAGATTTTTGTGTTTTCCCCAGGAAAATGTCAACTAAAAATTAACTCTAAGGGATTTTGCGTAGTTCTCCTCTCACCGCTCCGCCCTCCCCGCCCCTTAGATCACCCCGTTTCACGCCAGGGTACATTTAGAGACTACTTAATTGATTTTCACATTCTGATTTTCTTTATCATCCTTTCAACTTGCAATCAGAAATGCATTTGAGCAATGGTAATTTTTCCTCTGAAGAAGAAGATGGAGAGAGTCACGACAGCAAAACCAAAGCAGCCGATCTACACCTCTCTCAGAAAAAAACCATCACGCAGATGATGAAGGATAAAAAGAAGCAGACTCAGCTCACCCTGCAGTGGTAAGACTCCCAAGGGGGTACCTTTCAGCACCTGTTGAGTCTTAAGTCGGTATCTTAAAAAAAAAAAAAAAAAAAAATCTTCAGAATCCGCTTTTCTCAATTTGCTTTTCCCTCAAACCTTTCAGGGAAAGTTTAAAATGCCAATAGGAAATTTATCCTTTTTTCCCCCACTGAGTATTTGGTGTGGAGATGTATTCTGGTATTAATGAAAAATGATATGCAGTACAAAACCCCATCACTTTGTTCATTATTGACCCAAACTATAATTTTGTCAAATGTCAGCAATAATGAATGTTTTTATGTTTTTTTGCATAACATACAATCAATTTGACCTTTAGATATCTGTTATGTGGTAGTTTTGTGTTTATAAAACATGATTCTTTAAAACGACTTATGAGGAGGAAGGATCTTAATATTCTTTATCCATATGAGGGCAAATTAACAATTGTGTATTGGTCGTTAGGTGAAGTATGTTTGAATTAGAAGACATAGAAAAATCAGTTAAAATCTTACTAGTAACTTAAATAATTGTTCAACTATTTTTATAACACCTGCGAATTGGATTTTGTGGAAAATCTTTCAGAACCAAGAGTTTGCCAGTTGGTTTTCTATGTACAGTAGGCATTTTGTAATATTATCTAAAAGGAAGAGAGATCTAAAGTAAAAACTCTAAGCTTTCCCACATACTATGAAGAAATAAGGTAAAAATTTCCTCCTGAATTACAAATCACAAGCAAATAATTAAAAAGGTCTATTTACTGATAGGTTGTATACAATGTTTATATGTAAAGTATGATCTAAACCTTAGAAAAATACAGTAGAAAAAATAGTATCTAAGAAACTACCACAAAAACTATTAAATTTTATTTTCAGTTATTTGGGTTACAATTCACATGTACTAAATTTTTGTACTATATACTTAAACCTTTTCAAATGTTTGAAATATGAACTGAATATTCTTCTAAGGTTATGACTTAACTGTTGAAGTTGATGTCAGACTTACTGGTTAAAAATACACTGGAGCAGTAAATAGTTGAGTTAATTATCTGGAATATTTAGGATACAACTCTTTTATTAGGATAATTGGAGCAGAAGTGTTGATTAAAGATACATTTTGGAGAGCTGTTGAGTGATCACTTACAGTTTTTCAGTTCGAATCAACTGAGTGGAAACAAACTTTTTTAAAACATTTTATAAATATAATTGGGTTTTAATTAAGGGAAAAATATCATACCCCAAATTAACGTTGTACTCATGGCTAGGATTATTTTGAAGATAATGACAATGCCTACAAAAACATTAAAATGGCAGAAAAGTTGACATTTCATACATGCCATTAAAATACAATCTTTAAATAGTTGAATGTTTTCTTAGTGTTTTCATATTTTTTGAAACTATAAAATTCTGTAATTTTTGTTTGAATTTTCCATACCCTTTCCTGTAAAAGAGTCTAATGCATATTTTTTTTAAAAAAATGAAATGAATTAATTGTATTTTGAGAATTTTCCCTTAAGATTGTGTAGACTATTAGGGAGGTTAAAAATTACAACTGAAAAATAAAGTGAAAAATTTAGCTGAGTAACTCCAGTTTTCAACCGTCAGCCAGGTGTTTGGTTTCATGCATGCAAATTTTACTGGGGTTTGGTTCTTTTTTTCTTTCTCCATGGAAAAATGGACATCTGATGCTTTACATCTGATGAACATCTCTTTTAGCTTTTATCTTCTGTGTCTTGGGAATTTGTTAAATCAGAGATCTTGGATAGTTTAACTCAATTTTAATCTTGAAAGCGTACTCTTTATTGCATTGTTCCTATATAGGAATAATTATAATTTTACTATACATAAAATGGGTATACACAAATTTTGGTCAAAATCACCTACTAAATTATTAGAAAAACTGGGACTATAATCTACAAGTTCTGAGTTCTTGAATGCTATGCAGATATTTCTAGCAAATATGTATTATCACATTTGTTACATTATATTTATTATATTTATTATATTATCACTTTTAATTGCAATTGTAGACATTCAAGTTAAATAGAATTATGTCTAAATTTTCAAAATTTGCATAATTATATTTATAACAGAGTTGAATTTATATATGTCAGTTTGGAAATGTCTTTAGAGACATACATGTTGTTTCAAGTGTATGCTATGGTTTAGGTTGTTACAGTACTGATCACAGCAAAAGGCGGAGGAGGAGAAATAGATCAGTACCATTTCAGACTTAAGTGATGTGAGTTTATTCTGAAGTATTTTGCAAATAAATGTATCATCATGCTTCCCTAACCATTTAGAGTTCAGAACTACTTTGTGAGTGAAAGTCAGATTGTAGGTATTTGCTGGCCTAAAACCTGGCGGCTTTTTAGGGCTGAGAACATCTTCTTAAAAAAAAGTCGTCTTCAATTTCACCATTCCCATTTTTACCTCCCAGGGAGGATTTCCATAGAAGTAGGACTTGTTCTTTGGGATATAGACCAGGGAGGAGTGGTATTATGTTCACCATGGTATTTTCACTGCACTAACAGGTGTTCACTAGGGCTGTTGCTCCTCTAACATTAGTTCTTGTGATCTGACTTTTAATAATATCCAGAATAAAACAAATCTACCTGGGCCCACTCATGAACTCATTTATATAGAGCTTGTATTCAAAGCAGTCATTAGACTAATGTAAAAGGGGAAAGGAAAGGAGAAATAAAGGAAAGGTTGGACCCAATTTTTTGCCTTTTCTTTTTTTTAGGCTTGAAGAGAATTACATCGTATGTGAGGGAGTCTGCCTTCCACGGTGTATCCTTTATGCACACTATTTAGATTTCTGCAGGAAAGAGAAATTGGAGCCAGCCTGTGCAGCCACCTTTGGAAAGGTAAATGACATGTACCAGCTACACTACTTAACAACCAAAGTCATATCAGGTAGACAGTGTAGAAACATATTCATCTGAGCAAGTTTTCATGTAGAATGTTCAGAAATTTCTCTCATGAGCATAAATGAAATTTCTTACGGGTGTATTTGAAACTACTATGTGATTTATCTTGATTTACCTACTATAGGTTTTACCTTGAACTACTTTATGCTTTGAATATTAGAACCCTGGCTATCAGAAGACTTCATGCGACATTAAAGGCATCTCCTTTTGAGGAGTGATATTTCCCTTCAAAGAGGAATGTGTTAAGAAGTATGGTAATGGCCTGTACTGAGAAGCGAAATTAAGTAGAGGTGACAAGTATCTTGTGGATGCAATTGGTGATTGTGGTTTTTGTTTCGCTGGTTCAAGTATATGGGTTTTTAATAGATTTTTACTTTCTTTTATAAAGAGTTCCCTTGATTCTCCACTTCACTCTGAGTACAAATATACCCCAAACTCCAAGACGTTGTGAGAGGATTGATAAAATATTGCTCATTTAAACACATTCCTTTCTGCCCAACCTATATGGTTGGGATGGGAATCTACAGAGTTGGCATTACTCTATTTATATATGTTGGTCTTATTTTGAGAACCAGGAAACAATATCAATCTCTTAGGAAAGCCTTGTTCTTTGAGATTCTTCTCATGCTCGGCTGTCTTAAGAAACCAAGGATAGTGCAGAAAAACTGTAGGAAGCTTAAGCTTCAAAGATGGCATCTCATGTAAACTGAAATCCAAATTTTAACCTGTAGAGGGACTCATTGTCCAGGAAATAATGAATGCTATAGTCTGGCTTCTCAGTTTTTTAAAATAAAATAATATAAAATAATAAAATAATTAATAAATAATTAATAATAATTAATAAATAATAAAAATAAAATATAAAGTAATTTATAAATTTAATATGAAAACCTATCTGTTTATGGGAGTCAGTGTGATATGCTGCATAGTAATCTCATGATTTAGGTTCTGGCCTAGACGGTGACTAATTTGTTGTCAGACCTTCTGAAAGCACTTCACCTTTTTGAAATTCAGTTCACTCACTGCCTAAAATGAGGAAGTTGTGTAAGGCAATTTCTAATGTCCACTTTAGCACAGCTGTTTAATGAGTCCAACTTATGGGGGTCTTCTTAACTGTTTGGGGAGTCATGGAGCACCTTGAGAATCTGATTAGAACCACAGAACCAGTCCTCAAGAAGTGAACATTTATAAGAACTTTGGCATGGAGCCCTTAGGATATCCTACAATTTCCTGTTTCCAATAGAAAAGATTTCATTTTTTAATTGCTATTGCCAATTTTTAGCAAATTTTAGAGAGAGGAACATAGAGAAGAAAACATTTAAAACACTGTTGTGGAATGGGGGGTTAATGTGGTAGGAGAAGAGTAAATGAAACAAGTTGGGATTGGGAGGGAGACAAACCATAAGTGACTCTTAATCTCACAAAACAAACTGAGGGTTGCTGGGCAGAGGGGGGTTGGGAGGGGGGGGTTATGGACATTGGGTAGGGTATGTGCTATGGTGAGTGCTGTGAAGTGTGTAAACGTGGAGATTCACAGACCTGTACCCCTGGGGAAAAAGAATATATATATATGTTTATAAAAAATAAAATTATTAAATAAAATAAAAAACAAAAAAAAACACTGTTGTGGAGATCTGGTAAGGTAAAGAACATTTCCTGTGTTCTGGCAGGGTTGGAGATGGAGATATAATTGTGGCAAACCTCTGGATAAAATTATTATAAAGATAATCAAATTTTTTCTTTAAGTACATAAATAAAGTAACAGTTGCTTTGGTAGTCATATTAAGCAACATCAGATACTGGCATGATTCACCCTGGAAATTGAGACAAGAACAGTGAAATAATCTCATCAGAAAAGTATCTTCCTGCCTCTGATAATATATTATTGCTTATCAATATGGTATATGTACGATGTTACTTCTTCCAGACTAAATATACTCAAAGTTTAACATTTACTTTCTCCAATTAATTGGTTACAAGTTGCTTGCAATAGAACCACATACTTCCTAAAAACTAAAGTGATTGACTTTCCTTTCAGACAATTCGCCAGAAATTTCCCCTCTTGACAACTCGGCGACTTGGAACCAGAGGCCATTCAAAGTAAGACCCACTGATGAGCATGTGTCAGTGATATATGATACCTGTACCTGAGGACTGACACATGTAAAATTAAGGATTGTCTTTATCAGTGAGTGGAAGCAGGTATTCTCTTCCTGATGAAGCAGATTTTCGCCAATTATAAGAACTAAGAAGGAAAAAAGTGGATTTTAGAATGACGTTTAAAAAACAAAATTTATACTGGAAATTGTAATATATCCTTGTTTCCGATGAAATAATGTAAATGAACCATTGTCATAATCTTAAGGCCACTACTGAAGGCATCGGTGTCATGAAAGGAGAGTGCCCATGGCTAAATAAGTGGTCAGATGGAACCCACAGCACTCCCAAAGGCAAGGCCAAAGCCAGGGGTTGAAGTATGATTCAGGTTCTTTCTCTGGGTTTCTTTTCCAGGTAATGACTTCCTAACATCCTCTTCTCTTCCCTTCAAGACAAATGATCTGCGCAAATGACTTCTTTGGTCATCTCTTCATGTACATAGAAACATAAAGTAAGATCTCTCTCTTGATAGCTTCAGCTTTTCTTTTGTCTTGTGGCCATCTCAGTAGGACCCCCAGTTTTAGGTTCTCATTCGTCCATGATTGCCTCTGCCCTTTGTGTTTTCAGTGTTGCCTCTCTTGCCTACAAGCATATTCAGGTCTCTTCCCGTTAATAAAAATAAAATCATCTCAAACCTGCTATACTCTTCATACTTGCTCTGTTATTTTGCTTCTCGTTGCTGTTCCTTGAAAGAGCAACTCTGCTCACTTTCCTTACCAGTGTTCCCATGCCTGAGTCCTAGTGCCTGTCTTTACCGGGACAGAAACTCCGTGGCTCATTTTTACCATTAGTCATCTTCCGTGGCACCCATCTAGCGTGTGAACCTGCTGACAGAGCCCTCTCAAGGTAAATCAGTGTATGAAGTGTCTCCCAGGGTTTCCCTGTCACAACACTGATAACTCCTCTTCCATCTTCTGCCATTCATTTGCTAGCTCACGCAGCATCTTCTCCTGTCCCAACACCTAGCTCAGCATTGCCCGATGGAATACAACACAGCCACGTATTTATTTCAAACGTTCCTAGTAGCCACATTGAAAGAAGTACAAAGGAACAGATCTTATTTGATTTTAATGTTTCATGTAATCTAGTATATCTGAAATGCTGTCATTTCACCAAGTAATCAAAATGAAAAACATTTGAGATATTTTATGCTCTTTTTTTCCTCTGCTAAGCGTTTGAGCTCCAGGATGTATTTTATACCCAGTGCACATCTCCATTCAGATTAGTCCCGTTTCAGGGGGTCAGTACTCACGTGAGACGAGGAGCTGCCCTGTGGGGTAGCTCAGTCTTAGTCACTTGCCAGAAAGAATAAATCTCACTTTATGAATTCTCTTGAATGGGTCTCTCTCCATTCTCACTTTCATAATCTGGCCTTCTCTCTGTTTTTCCAGTCCACTCAATACAGCTCTTCAAATCAACCTTCTGAAAGTTCCGTTCCATCATCTGTCACACTCTGAAACTTTTAGCAGCTCATGGCAGATTTTTCTCACCTTGACATTCAAGGTCCATTATGGTTTAGTCACAAGCCATTTGCCTACCTTACCACCTGCTTCTCACTTCTCAGCATGGAACCTGTGTTCCCATCAAATTAGGGCCAGTACCCTCTGCTTCTTCCTCAGATGTCGTTCGTTTGTTTACGCTGTCTTCCTCCATGGAAAATTCCCTTTCCCTTGCAGGTATGTTGAAAGCTTACCCATTGAAAAGAATGCTTCATGAACTCCCTCTTCTTTTGAATTTTTACTTATCTCTTGATTTCTTTTTTAATTAATTTATTTTTAAATTTCTTTTCAGAAGTTAAATGAATTAACAGAAATTAAATGAATTAACAGAATTCATTGTTTATGCACTACAGCCAGTGCTCCATGCCATACGTGCCCTCCATAATACCCACCACCTGGCTCTCCCAACCTCCCACCCCCCGCCCCTTCAAAACCCTCAGATTGTTTTTCAGAGTCCATAGTCTCTCATGGTTCATCTCCCCTTCCAATTTCCCTGAACTGTAGGCTCCCTCTCTGTGCCCTCAGAGCAGTTCATTAGTACCTATCTTAATGTAAAATTAACTTATCTCTTCCCCCTCAAAAGATACTATTTTGTGGATAGAGACTTTGTTTCAATCACTTTCATATCCTTCCTGTGGTTGGCTACATAACAGATGATCGATGAATATTTATTTAACTGATTCCTATTAATGTTAACAACCTGTGTTCTGAGAAGGAGGGATGAAATGCCAGATTGAAAACCACTAAGTAAGTTCTTCCCTTCTAATCAAGTCAGGATTTGTCTTTCAAAGTTGCATCAGTTTAACTGGCTGATTTCTAATGAATTTGACTCCTACTGACTTGTATAGGTGAAGGAAAAATCAGATAGTGTTTGACGTAGGTAGGTAGTAGGAAAAGAGCCAAAGCAATGCAGGGAAATCCTCTTTATGGGTCTGCAGGAGGACAGGCCTGCAGAGAAAGCCAATTAATCCTAGAAGGAGCCTTCAGGATTAGGGATAAATCATTAACCATGTCCATTGTGACACTGTGAGGCTCCAGCGTTTAGGTTTATGTAACAACATGTGGTAACTTCAGGCAATTTGTCTGACATCTAAGAGCAGATGTGCCCAAGAGGGAAGCATTAATAATTTGAATTTTTTCCTACCTTCCTGATATGCCATTTGCTTTTTTATAACTTGCTTATTACATTCATGGTATTTTGATATCCTGGGGAAAGGCATTTTCCATAGGGAAACTGAGGATGTTGAATGATAGAGTGAGATGGAGAGTTTGTGTATCTTGCAATTGGCAATGTTTTGATGTAATTATTCTTAGCCAGATAGTTTTCCCATCTTTATTTATTTCTAAGAGTTGCCTAGAGTTAGGAGCATGAAGTTTAGAGTTGGGCAATTCTGAACTTTAATTCTATTACTCCCATATGTAGTCCCTGTGTGACACCAGATGAATTGTTCAGTTTTTCATCAGTAAAGATGGTATACAGTATCCATCTCACTGGTTTGTTGTGAGAATTAAATGAATAAATTATAGGAATGGGTGGAGAAATGAATATGCTTTCAACCTGACTGTCCTTGATAATATGAAATTATCCCAAAATCAGCAATGCAATTAAAAGCTACTATTTATTGAGCACTGCACACACATACACACAAGCACACTCACAACCACACACTCTCAGATCCTTACAGTGACAATACAAGATGGAATTACTGTATTTTACAAATGAGAAGACTAGTTGAAAGATGATTGACTTGCCCGAAGCCACACATGCTGTAAAATAACAATGTTGTCATTTAAATCAAAGTTTATCTGACTCTAAAGTTTGTGCTTTGTCAACTAGTAGATCCTACTTCCCCCCTCATATCAGCCATATCAAGAAAATAATTATTTAATTGAATTTTTGATTTTTTGAGGTATAAATTTCATTTTTTGCCTAATCTGTTTTTAAAACTTATTAATGTATCAGATTCTTCTGATTCTTTCAGAATCTTTCAGATTCATTTTTAAAGATTTTATTTATTTATTTGAAAGAGAGAGAAAGAGTATAAAGATAGGGCAGGGGGAGAGGCGGATGCCAATTCCCCTCTGAGCAGGAAGCCCTATACAGGGCCGACCCCAGGACCCCGGGAACCTGGACCCTGACCTGAGCAGAAGGCATTCGCTAAACCGACTGAGCCACCCAGGCACTCCTAAACAGCTAATATTTTCTGAAGCCTTAATCATAAGGCACTTTAAATTATTTTATATTTATTTAGAGATATTTATGTTTTATATAAAAACACTTTTTGCTTTTTGCTTTTAATTTTTGTCCCGAACATTTCTCTATGTTGGTATATTATCTTTATAATCATCATTTCTAATGGCTAGTTAATATCTCAAAAATTTAATATTTTTGTGTCCATAGAAATATAAAAAATATATTAAAATATAAAAAAATATAAAATATATTTTTATGTCTATAGAAATATGAATTGGTGAAACACAGAAATATGAATGAAGAAGTAAGAATATTTTGGAGAAAGAGGAATTTATAATTCTCCAAATTTTACCATTATTTTGCAAAACTTATTTTATTGCAGTGGTGTTTATACTATCACTAGATATTTATTGAATTATTTTTAAAAATAAATAAATTTAGTATTGATTTATTTTGACTTCTGTGGATCATATATTAAAATATAATAATATATAACTGCCTAATGATTGTTATTTAAAAACATAAGCTCTCAATTTTTGCCCAAATGTCATAGAATAACTAGACTATGTCCAGTCATTTCATTTGAGTCCTTCAAACAGAATTTATTTTAGATCATGATTAACTCAAAAGATTCTTCTGTATTCTGGGCAAAAGATAGCACCTCTGTTTCTAAAACTGTCCTTGGATACCTTTAGGGTTCATCAAACCTCTTCAAATTTTATTCCCTGTATAAAATCTGATAGTTGGGGAAACACTGATCTTTGTGAGGAAGAGATTGATTAGTAGGATCTAAAAAATAGGAGTGAATTTTGTATCTATTTCCAAGTTCTGTTTCTCTAAGTTCTGACATAACTGGGTATTAAAATGATTGGTCCTCACTTCCCACCTTTCTGCATGTGCTGCTACTTCCCCTCATGAAAGTGAAAGATGAAAAAGTTTAACTAAATAAAATGAAGCAAAAATTTACTGAACCAAAGGAAGAGATAAAATATATAAACATACATTAAAAACAAACAAAAAACCTTGGGGAACCTGGGTGGCTCAGTCATTAGGTGTCTGCCTTGGGCTCAGGTCATGATCCCAGGGTCTTGGGATGGAGCCCCTTATCTGGCTCCCTGCTCTCCCTCTCCAGCTCTCCTGTGCTGGTGTTCCCTCTCTTGATATTGCTCTCTGTCATAAATAAATAAAATCTTTTAAAAAAATAGAAATAAAATAAAAACAAACAAAATATCCAAATGGACAGAATCACT